TTATCAAAAAATGTAATCTCCTCAAAGTTACACCTAGACTACAAGTCTAAAATTTCAAAAATTCATAAGGTGTCCATAATCTTACAAATAAATGCAACTAATGGCATTTCAGAAACTTATCAATTTAGTAGCATTTCTCTTTTACTTGAAATCAATATTTAAAAATTTGGAACTGATTAAAATGTCATTATTCACTGATTATTCTACATATATGATGTGTGGGAAATTACCCTCTAATGCTGGTTGTTTATTCAACAAAATTCTTCTTTCTTGCTGGTAGAATCCCAATTTGGTTTCCTTGTTCATCACTATCCATGTGACTCATGGAGCCTGATTAGTCTAAACCCACAGTGGTCATTTTATTTCCCTTGCCAGTGATTAATCTAGGAGTGGGCACATGACTCAGATCTGGCCAATGAAATGTGAGGGGAAGATTTCTGGGGATTTCTAGAAAAAAATATCCTCCCTCTGAAAAGACAAGAATAAATGAAAACAGTCACATTCTTCTACAGGATAATTTTGTGTCTAGAAATAATGCTTTGAGACAATGAGGGGAGATGACCAATCATTTATAATACCCTGAAAATGGCAGAGCAGAGAAAAAGAATCTAGATGAGTAAGCCAATGAATTAACCTGTTCTGGAGCATCTACCACTTTTTGTTATATGAAATGATAAATACTCTCACTGTTTAACTCTTTTCACCCAGAGTCTTCTATTATTTGGAAGTGAAATAATTCTTAAAGATACATCATAAATATCCATAAGCATTTGAGTACAATTGCTTTAGTTAAAAAACTATACAATGAAATTAGGTATTTTGAATTTGTGTTAATCTCAACATTCTAATCATGAATTGATCAATAATCTCTCCTTTGACTGAACAAGGTGGGGCTGGGGTGGTACTTGCAATATATTTATAATTTCATATTTTATAAATGATGCTAAAAATTAGATAAATAATTCTAGAAGAACCTTACCCTTTTAAGTTATTCCATCATCTATTGATTTATATAAGTTATGATTCATGAACTAGACAAAAATAAAATTTTAAGTGTCTGCATCTATAGACTTTAAAGTTACGTTCTTTAGGTATGTGGATTAATCAAGAAGACATAAATGGCCTTTTATAAAGTAGTTTTAGGTGGATGATAAAATATACAACTTGACTTATTGAAGTGGAAAAAACTAAATTTTAAATGGTTTATTTTTCTGTAGATGAAGGGAAAGCTTGGTCAAGTAAAGAAATGGACACGCAGGGCAGCAACAACTTTGTTAGTTGATTAAAATTCCATTTGGTCAAAGCTGGAGCCAGGTCTTCCCTTCACATTATCTTTTTCTCACTCCCATTAAAATTCATTTACACTTTCCGTTGTTTCAGAATTATCTGCCTTCAGCTGCTAGTGAAAGTTTGTTTATATTTCTTGGGAGCCTAGCTTCAAGGTCACTTCCTACCATTAATTCGCTGTCAGCGAGTGTCACTTGGGGCATTTCCTGTTCATATTCTCAACAGTGCTGAGGAGGAAAAATTCCCAATGGTCTCTAATTTTTAATCTTCTATAACAGTCTTCGAATATGAGCTAGTATATCATTTACTTCATTTAACTGTGATTATTTTAGTGGGAAAAATGTCAACATAATTTCTGAGATGGACTCTATCTATAAAATGGGCAGTACAATATTTTCTTCCACCTTTGAAAATGAACTAGGTTGAGTACGCATTGCTTAGAAGTCAATGCAAATAAGTACGAGACTTAAATCCAGAATATCTACTATAAGCTGAATATCAAGAAAGTATTGTTTTCGCCATCTTTATTATCTAAAGCCAATAGACCCTTTACTTAAAACATTCGATTAAGTAAAAAAATAATTTTAATCATTGATTGCTTAATGATTGTTTTCACTTTCTGATTGGATATGCAAAATCATAAGGTGAAAGCTTTTGGAAGTTTTCCAGTGAACATATATTAAGTTATAGAGAGCTTTAAATATCTGATCTTGTTTGCTATATTTCATAAAAAGAAAAATCTTTTAAAATTCCTGATTTGGTATTACCCAGCTATTAGAAAGAATTCTTCTCTATTCTATAAGTGCTCAGAATATCAGTGCATATAGTGCCAAACAGGATAAGATTTTTTTTAAATTTTCGTCCAAAGTGCTCATTCTTTTAAACACTAAATTAAGCTTTTTTTCCCCAACAGACTATCTGTGTTAAGACTCATGTGAGTAAAATTACAAAATATCAAGGAAGAATATAAAAGACTATTTACATAAACGGAAAAACATTATGTTCCTGAAGGGAAAAATTTCCCACAGGCAATTTGACAAAATGATTCTAAAATTTATGAAAAAACTAAACTGGCACAAATAGCTGAGCAAATTCTGCAGCAATAGTAAAAAAAAGAGGGAGTCTTACTCTCAGATATAAAGGCATGTTATAAAGTTATAATAATTTAATCACTGTGGTAATGGTATGAGAATAGACAAAAATCAATTCAAAACAGAAAAGAATACTTGAAAAAACCATGGACAATCAAAAACCATCTTGCAAATCACACGGCAAAAGGAATGCTAGATGCAAGAGGAAGTTAAATGTAAAACTGTGTCCATGAAAGAACTGAAAAAAAAAAACATGGGTGAAAAGTATCTGATCTTGGAGCCCAGAGACTTTTCTTAGCATAAAACAGCAAAAGAAAACATAAAGAAAAAAAACTGATGTATATGACTCTATAAAAATGTAAATCTTCCTATTAAAAAAATATTAAAAATATAAATCTTCCTATTAAAAAATATCTTGAACAAAATAGAAGGCAAACGACTGTAAAATCTTTTTGCAATGAATAATAAAAGGAGTCAATAAGTTTAATAGAAAGAGAACTTTTATATCAATTAGGATTAATTTAATGTTCCCCACCCAGTAGAAGTATGTTCGAAGGACAGGAATAGGAAATTCACCAACAAAGAATTTTACAAATGGCCATAAATATGAAAAAAAAAATTTGCTCAACTTCAGTGATATTCAAATAAATACAAATTAAACCACCACAATGTAATCACAGCCATTAAAACTTGTTTCCTCCTAATTAAAAGCAAGAGAAATGCTCGTGATATATTTTAATTAAAAAAGTATAGTACAACACAGTTTATGTTGATATTTGTAATTATTCAAAAATATGTGCTCATATGTAAGTTTATTCATAGAAAAAGACTTGAAGGCTTACAGGAGTTATCTCCAGGTGGTGGGATACAAGGCTATTTTAAATTTTTTTATGTTTTTCTGTGTTTATCTTATACCTTATGAAAAAAAAAAGAAACAAACAAACAAACAAACAAATGCCCCTCGCAGAGTCTGATTATCAGACTTTCTTGCCTCCATTCACTCTCCCAGCAGCAGCCACTTGAGGCCACTTCTGCTCCAGGGTTTCCTGATTCAGACCCAAATCTTTAAAAAAAAGTCTCTGGTCCCAGCCTTCCTCACAGGATTCAACTCCTTCTGGCTTTATGTCCCTCCCTGAGCACATACAGTGAAAAGTGATCAGAGCCTTTCAGTAAAATGTGAGATTTGTCAAATATATGAAAACTAGCAGTAAAATTCGACACACCAGCTAAATATAGGGGGTGCTAACATCCAATTCAAAATAACTTCGGTCCCTCGATGCGGGCACTGCACATGATTAACACAGAACTTTACCCGATGGCTGATGTTATTCCTGCATTTTTCAAATGCTTCCACTTGGCCCTTTTCAAAATAAACCGTGGAATTGGGCTTTATGTGCTTATATGGCAAGGTTGCTCCCTATGATACCATCACAAGGCTAAAGCATAAAATCTAGTTAAGAGTTCTTGCCAAAACATGAATCAGTTGCGGCAGAATATTCTGAGCTCTGTTCCTCTTTTTTTTTTTCCATTCTCTAATATTTCTTCACATCACAGCCCAAACAATCGCTCATAATTAAACTGAGTGAAGGAGCAGCCCTGGCAGGAAATGCAGTTGGCAAGGATCCCATAGTTCTTCATTGTCTTCCCCACAGAACAATTACATCAGTTCCTTCCATTTCCAGAGAAAGAACAGATTTCACAGAGCAAGAGATGAAAATAAGAGGAAGGAGGCGGCTTATTTACATATTCCTAATCAGCTTAATATATAATTTTTTATGGGAAGAGGAAATGCCTTAAAGAATTGAAGGGTCATTTTAAAAACCTGCTTTCACTTCTTCTAGTATCTACACCACATGCTGACCACAACCTCTGCTCACCAGTTACTCATGTCTGCTGAAAACCTTCAGGTTTAAAGGAAATCTAGCCAACGGGTGTGATATATTCCAGAGTCTGGAATCTTGAAGAGAAGTTAAATACCACCCATGTTTGAAAAGTTAAAAATATATCACCACTCAGTTCTTTAACAACTGCTATTTACTCAGTAGCTTTATTGCAAATTCTAATGCAGAAAAAGGATTTAGAGTCTAAATGTGTACACTGAGATGGGGTAAGATAAAGGATATCTTAAGGGTTGTTTGGCTTCAGCTCGGCTGAATGACAAAGCATTGCAGTCCATCTACTGCATCCTGCTGATGCAGTTCACAGGCAGGCCAGGGGTCGGGGGTCTCACTCACATAGGGGTTTACTAGGTGAAGAGAGGTCAGCTCCAACCTAGGTTTACCCATCCACCCTGATCATCCTTTCCTCATCCGCCCGTTTACCAGCTCTTGGCGGTCTGGAATTTATCACGATTTCCTAGGAAAGAACAGTCCCTGGGCCAGTTCTCACAAACCCAAAAAGTGCCAGAGACGTGCAGAATCTACAGTCCAGCCTCCCAGTGAGATCAAGTGAGAGAACCACACACCCCACAGGAGTGTCTCAGCCATCCAGGAGGAATGAGTAACTTTTTGGATGCCAAGAACACATTACAGATCCCCACCTTCAGTCTTTAAATTCCTGACCTCTTACTTTTCTCTCCTGGGCTAAAGCCCCGAAGGCTCCAGTCCTCTGGGTCATAAGAGAAGGGAAGACATCAGACCAACAGGAAGGAGTGTCCAGCACCCATCCCTAGGTCCCTGCTTGGCGGAGCTGGGGTGAGTTCACTTGTGAACAGGGTAAACCCATGAAATAGGGAGGCCGGAGAGTGAAGGGGACAAGACAACAAGTATTGTGCCCTGGGGGATTGAGGGGACAACTCCAAGGTATTAATTTCTCCAGAGGATGAATCCTCAGGAAGTGTCCCACACCAGAAAACTAATTCCATGGGACCCCAGACATGCCAATTCTCGAAGGGGAAGGAGTCGACCCTTGATCCTGTGCTTACAAATAGATCCCTGTACAAATCTACGAATTTTAGAGACAAAGAGGACATCTTGACCCTACAATTGGACATAGAGCTGGCTCTAATAGTCTCTTCAGCTGAGAACAATATTCTTTAAAATACAGGAGACAGGAGAAAAATTAGAGAAAAGCTAGAGAATTTTATCTGAGGGAACATGTATACAGGATAAGGCCCAGCCTATAAGGCTGGCTGACAGGCATGACGGTTCTCTCCCTCCTCACCCAGGCTTGTCCTTGTGCCAACACATCAAGAGTATTCAGAAAGTACTGGCAGAGGAAACTCAGTAAAAATGTCCCAATAAAGAAGCAAGAATATAATTTCAACACTAATAATGAAAGTAGCACCATATAAGGCAGGAGTCTCTTGTTTACAAGTGACAGATGCTCAACTCAAAAAGGAGTTGGTAACTTAAGCCAACAGGGGAATTTATCAGCTTAAATAAATAGGCCAGAGTTTTCAAAAAAGGCTCAGGCACATCTAGATTCAGAGGCTTCAATAATATCATCTGGGTTTCGTCTGTCTCTCCATTTCTTGGCTTTTCTTCCTTCTCTACCTTGGCTTAATTCTGCAGACCAGTTCTCCCACGACTAGAGAAAGTAGCTGTTGTAACAGTATTGGCCATTCTTTTGTTCCGTAGCATCTGGAGCTCCTCTCTCTGTTTGGGAATTTCCCACCTCATAAGTTTTCGTGGGGCACGTGCCGTCCCATTACAGAAGAGGGAAATGTCAGATGCTTGATTTCCCAAACTCCTATGCAGCTGGGACTCAGGCATGTAACCCAGACAACACCAACCAAACACAGCCGTCCTAAATTTGGAGCTAGACACAGATAAAGTAAAAAAAGAGAAAAGAGAAAAAAAGGCAGAATGTCAAGGCCCTCTCCGTGACAAGCTCACGTTCCTGTGCTAGGGGTGACAGCAGCAGTACTGTGGTGGTGTCAGGTTCTTGTTCTCACAGTGTCAGCTCTGTCACTTGGAGGGCTTCATGCCCAGCCACAGTGGTAATAGTGTCCTTCCTGGCCCTGTCCTGGGGCATAATTTGGGGCCATATTCCCGGTTGTTAAAAATAGTAACTGATTCTCTGGCCATCCCAGGGATTCCTTCTGCTACGCAGTAACCTTTTCATAATTTCTTTGCTTAAATCATCCAGAGTGATTTTCTATTACTTGCAAATAAGAAATTGACTGCAAACAGCTGCCCCAAAGTCATAGTGTCCCAGCTTAACAACCCCGGATAAAAAGGAACTTCTGTCTGTTAAGAGTGGATGTCAATCCTGGCAAAAATTCTTATTGATCTTTGTGTGTGGGGTGGGTGGGGATATATGCCAACTTCTACCCCAGTCATGTTGCTAGAGGCATGAGACTTTATGATTGGCCCAACCTTTGTGAAATGTCCATTTGTATGGCCAAGAACAGTAGAGCATATGAAAGACAATTTCATAGAATGGAGGAGGAGACATTTCCAAAGCAAAGAGCTGTCTGTGATAAACATTTTACTTTTATACAGAATTTCCCCTAATTACTCACTAGTCTTTTAAAACTCACCAATACCAAACTGCAAAGAATTGAAAGAATAAATCTTGTTTGCTAGTTCTACGTCCTCAGAAGGACAAAATAGGATAGCTTAAATGGAAGAAACCAAGAAATACAATGATTAGAAGGGATCTTGTATGTGGAATTTCTCAAAATAAGATATATTATGTTTTCTTGTCTCCAAACCTTGGAAAGTTTGTAGAAAATATTTTCAGTAATGTCTAGACATTATTCGAAAACCACTGCTTCTAAACAAAATACCCACCCACCCTCATCTAATTATCTACCCATTGCTGGTCACCTAGAACATTGTGAGATTCCTCAGTATTGTGGAAAGACGATTCCTCTTAGGGGAAGTTTGTCAGAAAACTAATCTTTGCTGAGGGAAATAAAGAGCTTCAATCATCACATAGTGTCACCATGCCCCAGAGAGCAGGACCCCACCACATGCCGAGTCTTACATGTTGCCAGAACTCTTGGGAAGTATGGATCTCACCAGAGGCAAAAAGCCAGTTTAGAGAAAAGTGGGAGAAACCCAGAGCCAAAGGGAATAGGATAGAAAGAATGTTAGAGAATGAGAAAGAGAACATGTACAAATTGCATCAAGGTCAGCAAAACCCTAATATAAATAGTAACAGCTGTATGCTGAGTCCCAGCAGAAGGAGCATTGCTGGATATTTTCTAATTAGCTCTCCAGATCTGTTCTCCATGATTCTCCATGTTGTTCACTGACCGAGAAGTCTGAGCTGTATGGACTGCATGAATCAGCTGTCTGTCCGCTTGCCTCCAGTTGGGTTCAGCCAGTAGGAGGCACCAGTGGAAGACAAAAGAATAGGAGGAAAGTGAGGTCTGAGACTTTACTTCCTTGCTTCCCTCCCTGTGAGATCACAGCTCCAATCAGACATTCTTCTCCATACAGCCATTCTCTCCAGGTTCTGCTCAGGACCCCTGCCCGGTGCCCTTTCAGGACTAGAGTAGAAGGTACTCTCTGCTAGTCTAGCCCCAGCGCTGCTCCATCCCTTGTTGGCTCCCTAAACCATGCTCATACTTTGTAAATAGTCCCTTTACACAGTGGTTTTTACACCCCTAAGTCACGTCATTTGAGCATTCCATCAGTTTCCTACCAAAACCATGACTGATGCAAAATCAAAACATTCTTTGAAAGACTTAACGACTGATCACATGTAGCTTGGGGTGGGTGGGTCAGAGGAGCAAATGGAAAAATTCAAAGGCAGAAAGAAAGCAAAGAGAATGGGAATGAGGAGAGTAGATGTGTTGTATTCAGTTCAGACGTGTTTCTATATTCCATCCAAGCAGAAATGTCAAATATGTGCATGGGGGTGGAAGAGTCACTTTGGAGATGGAGGCTTAGGAATTATTCACATGTACGTAGTTAATAAAACTAGGAAAATTATGAGGCTGTTCAGGAAACGACAGGATGAAAAGAGATGATTGTCACTTTGAAAGTCTCAAAGAACTGAAATTTTTCAAATGAGTAACAGAAAACCCAACATTTCATTTATCAACTTTATAACTCAAATACCTATAAATGTTATGTACTGTTTCTTTGAATCAAGGAAGTGCTTTGTCAGAGGACTTCTGGTCTACGTATATGTCACCATGCATTTCTACAGAAATCTTTATCATTGCTGCCATCAAGGTGACAAAATGGCCCAGAGATAAAATTGACCTCTAGAGGAAAAGATTATACATTCTTAATTAGAAGCAATTTCCTTTGGGAGAGAAATAATTAAGAACTCAAATTTTTAAAAATTCCTAAGTAATCTCACTTAAATATAAATGTCCTTTGTATACTTTTAATCTTTTTTTTTTGTTTTCTTATAGTGTATAGAAAAGCTATATATCCAAGTAACATAGTAAATGACAAAAGATAAATCAAATTTAGGTTTAAGGACATGAAACAATTAGCAGGTGGTACTAAGAACAAGATTTGGTGAAAAAACATCAAAATAGTGTTTAGAAAACATAAACATTCATTAAGAGCTGAATGGATAAACAAAATGTTATATAACCATATAATGAAGTAGTAGTCTACAATAAAAAGAAATCAACTACTGATGTACTCAACAACATTGCAAATCAAAACATTACGATGAGTGAAAGTAGCCAGAAACAAGAGTCTATAGTGTATGATTCTATTGATATAAAATCTTAGATATTGCAAACTAATCTATAGTGATGAAACACATATTTCATTTGTTGCTGCAGTCAGGGATCAGATGAAGAAATAGAAAGGAAAACTTTGGGTATGATGGAATTATTCTGCATCTGGACTATAGTGGTGGATTCATGAGTATACATATTTGTCAAAATTCTTCAAATTGTACACTTTAAGAGGATACTACTCATTATACAAAACTTACAAAAGAGTGATGATACACGACCTGAATTTTTTATAATTAAAAACCCATGGGAAGAGTATGTGGTGTCCACTAGCAGGAAGAAGGAATTAAATATAAATAAGGCATAGGTGAATATAGATAATGTATAAATAAGTAGGCTAAGGCAAAATAATGTGGACTCATCGGTCTCCCACCTTCTCCTCTCACTGCTCTTCTACGCAGAAATTTATATTCATAAAAGTTAAAACTGCAAGTTTAGAGGAGGAAGGGATAGGTAAAAGAGTGCGTCAGTACCCTCAAGTATACAGATGTGATCATGTATACAACTTTGACTAGAATAAAATAAACTGGAAGTTGGAAGAATGCTAAATTTTGTATGCCATTTAGATCATAAACGTGCTCGCAGTGGTAAATTCAATATGCCTCAGAAAGCTTTCTCATTTTTTTATAAAGCTGAATATTTTATACTCTTGATGTATTATCATTCCTTTAACCAGTTATTGTAGATATTTAGATTGTTATAAAGAATTTTGCCTTTATAAACAATGCTGCAGTTAATAACGTAAGTATGTCATTTTACGTGGACGCAAATATATCTACAGAATGAATTTCTGGAAATGAAATAGCTAGGTGAAAGGGCATGTAATTTAGTATTTAATATTGTATCATTTTATACTCCTAGAGGCAAAATACTTAAGTGCCTATTTCTTCATGACCTCTCCAAAATGATATTTTAACAAAATTTTCTATCTTCATTAATCTTATAGGTTTTTAAATGACATCTTAAAGTAATTTTAATTTAATTTGCATTTGTCTTAATATGCAGGAGATCGGACATCTTTCATATATTTAAGAGTCA